TAATTTTCCATGTTAAATCTGCATGTAGTTCTCTAATATTATATTGTAGATGTTCCATATTAGTTAAATTTACAAATACTAATTCTCTTCCTATAGTCATATTTTCTTTTCTAGATTTGTTACTGAATGTTTTAGCTCTCTCCAGTCTATTGGGTGGGGTTACCATCACTTGTAATCTGTGGTTCAATAGGCATAAGTCCCATACACTTAGGCAATATTTTGGAATTTCTCTATAACTAGTCCTTTCGTCAAAGGATTAGCTAGACTCTGTACGGATCTTAAAAGATACAACCTCATTGATCCTTTAGGAGTTCTCTTACGGTACTGTGCTTACAACGAATCTTTTTGTCATTTTCCGTTGTAAAAGCGGTTTTCAACTTTAGTGATAGCTACGGTGATATCATAATAGATCAACATCGGAGGGACCAGTCTTTGCCATAAGGGAATCACTGACAATAATTCTCTCATCCAAGTTGCTACTTCACTAGCTGTTGCTAGTGCTATCATCTCCGATTCCATAGTTGATTGATGATTGATTGATTGATTATTAGAACTCCAAGACACAGCTCCTCCATCTATGTTAAAAACATACCCACTGGTTACCTTGGAGTTGTTTGATAGAGTATTCCAGTCCGCATCACTATGGCCATCTAGTAAAATAGGAAACCTTTGATAGTGTATTCCAAGATTCACTGTTCTCTTGATGTATCTCACGGTCCTCCCTATAGCATTCCAATGCTCTTTACTAAGAAGCTATTAAACCTGCCAAACAATCCCACGACATATGGAATGTTTGGTCGAGTGTAATTTGTCGCATAATGGATACTACCAATGATGGTAGCATATTCATATTGCCTTACACCGTCACCAGTGTTCTTGAATAGCTTTATACTAACATCATGCATAGTAAATGCAGATTTATAGTTAAAATAGTTATATTTCTTCAAGATCTTCTCTATGTAGCCAGATTGATGATCTAAAGAAAAATTATATGTTGTTCAAGTTATATGGATTCTAAGAAACTTTGCTTCCCCCAGATCTTTCACATCAAAGTTCTCTCTAAGCATGGTTTTTGCTTCATTGACCACGTGAATATTTGTACAAAATATTAACACGCCATCTACATACAAACATATGATAATGCAAGTGTTATTTTCTGATTTGTAGTAAATACACTTGTCACTTTCATTCACCTTAAAGTCATGTGAGAGAACTAGATTGTCAAACTTCTCATGGCACTATTTTGGAGCCCGTTTCAAACCATAAAATGATTTTTATACTTACATACTATTGAAGCATGTTCAGGAATAACAAACTCTTCAGGTTGTTCCATGTAAACTTTTTCGTCTAAATCACCATTCAGAAAGGCGGTTTTAACATCCATTGGTGTACCACGAGATTGTTCAAGGAAGCAAGAGCATTCGTGACATGAATGGATGTTATGCTAGATACTGGTGAGTCTTGAACTTATCAACTGCACCATCAAATCCGCATCTATGAAAGTTAACGATTCCTACAAACTTTTAGGATCTTTGAGAGTGTATATTATAGTAACACAACGTCAGATCCGTCATAGCAGCAACACAACATCTTAAAATTGTTAGTTACATAACAATTGAAACAAGTGTTAACTGAATCTGACTAAGTCGCGGACTAGGTCGCTCTCCTTAAGACGTTCGTGACACTGCCTCTCGTTGCGCACAGTAGACTGTTAGCCGAATCGCCTCCAGGATAAAATAGTCACTCTTGTTGCTCATCGATTTTGTGCGAAGACCCTCATAATAGACCCTCTTTCGTGATGAATAAGTCACGATAATTAAGGAGATAGTCACTCTATTAATTAAAGCGCGTCCGGTAAGATAATTACTACCTAATTATCTATCAAATATTCCTTTTTAATCAATTATCCTCTTTAAGCTCGTAACCGTTAAGGATACAAAATAATTCATTATTAATTAATTAATTAATTTTAGAATTTCTCCATAATATATTAGTCTCAAGTTGAACCACCCGCCAGCCCGCCCAACCAGTCAGACGAACAACGTGCGCATGTGTGTGGTGGTCCATCAGGTCTTCCCTCTCTTATAAAAGTGGGCCACCACAAGCATTATTGCCCCTTAGAGAAAGAACTCAATCATTATACCCATTTGGTAAGAGTTTTCCCACCATTGTATCAATTTAACTATCATCAAAACCAAACTACATATATATTCACCATTTCATTTCCAACATGATCCAATGTTAATCCTTTTTAACTTGAAACCAATCAAGTTTGGGGCGCTTTACCCATTTGGCATTATTTAAGTTGCACATAGCATGATCAAAGATGCAGAAGAGAAGGGTTTGATTACGCCCGAGAAGGTTGGTTAGCAAAACTGAAACCGAGTAATACCTTAAAGAAAGTGTGCCCTCTCCTGGTTTAGCATTAAAATGTTCTAAGCATTTTTTCTATCAATTGGTGTACCATAAAAGACTTTCTCGTTGAGATAACCCATGGCAACCGGGATTGCAGTAGCAGCATCAAAAGGTTACATCGACTTTGTTGCCTATTTGATTCCGCAAGGTTGAAGGCAAAGGGCTTGGATATCGATTGTTTACCCTCTAGTGGGCTACGAAACCCACCCAAAATTTAACAAGAACCGACTTGCTAATGAAGGCCCAGAAAGAGTTTGACAAAATTGGGTAGGGTGACGAAGGTTCTCACACCGTAGGGAGACTTTAGCCCAACACACTTCTAGTATTTGCAATGGAAGTAACTGGGGATGCAAATAAGTCTAGTTTGTAAGAGAGTGGTATAAGATTTAGAATAATCTTCTCTCAATAACTCGAGTTATTGGGATCAACTGGTTTATGATATGGTATCAGAGCAGATTTGACCAAGTGGTCGTGTGTTTGAATCTCTACGACCCCTAATATTAAAAGTTGATTAAGGCACAAGGTATGGTGGGCCTGTGCAAACTTCAAGCTCATGGGTTGACTTTTGTTTGAGGGGGCGTGTAAGAGAGTGGTATAAGATCCAACATAACCTTCTCCCAACAACTCGAGTTATTGGGACCAACTGGTTTATGACAGGAGCCGAGTTTTACCCCAGTTTGAGCTTGGCTCGTTAATAAACGAGCTGAGCTCGAACTGCTTATTAACTAGTCGAGTCGATGAGGGGGCGTGTAAGGGAGTGGTATACCAGGAGCCGAGTTTTACCCCAGTTTGAGCTTGGCTCGTTAATAAACGAGCTGAGCTCGAACTTCTTATTAACGAGTCGAGTCGAGCTCGAGCTAGCCTTGTTTACTAAAATCTTAACTCGTACTTTATACTTCGGTTTGAATGTCATGTATGATACATGTGATTGATGTCATGATGAAAAATAAATAATAATAGTCAAATGTCTAATATTAATTAATCTTATATTATACTTTGTTGGTATCATATTATGTAGTTAATAAATTTTAACTAGTACAAATCATGTTATTTAACAGTATCGAAGCAATCTATGCTATAAAATTTCTTTTAAAACTAAAAAATAACATATATATATTCACACATACTCAGCGTACTAAACTTCATATATAGAGAGATTTATAATTTAACAATCATATCAGTTAAACTCATAAGATATAAATCGATTCGACCATAAGTCGATAATCGAGTTGGCTCTCTAATCACAATGCGAGACATCTCATGAGCTCTAAACGAGCTAGCTCACGAGTTTTGCTCAACGAGCCACCGACCGAGTCGAGCTAGCTCGCGAGCTAAACAAGGCTTAGCTAGTGCTCGGCTCGTTAATAAACGAGTCGAGAGTTTCGAATGAGGTTTTCCCGAGTCGAGTGCCAAATCGCTTGCGAACATCTCGACTTAGCCCTAGCGGTAATTGGTCTAAACTAGGGCTGCAAATGAGCCGAGTCGAGTCGAGTTTTACCCCAGCTTGAGCTCGGCTCGTTAATAAACGAGTCGAGTTCGAGCTCAGCTCGTTTATTAACGAGCCGAGTCGAGTCGAGTTCGAGTTAGCTTGTTTATTAAAATCTTAACTTTTAATTGGTACTTCATTTTGTATATCATGATACATATGATTTATTTTGTTGGCTAATCTCATATTATACTTTGTTGGTATCATATATCATTTAGCTAATAAATTTTAACTACTCCAAATCATGTTATTTCATGGTATCAATGCATAATTTCTTTTTAAAGTAGAAAATAAGATATATTTGCTCACATACTCAACGTGTTAAACTTTATATATGATGAGATATATAATTTAACAACCATATGAATTAAAATTATAAGATATAGATTGATTCGTCCATAAGTTGGTAATCGAGTTGGCTCTCTAGCCACATGTTAAGACATATCATGAGCTCTAAACGAGCCAGCTCACGAGTTTAGCTCAACAAGCCACCGAGTCGAGCTAGCTCGCGCGTGAGTTTAGCTCAACAGGCCACCGAGTCGAGCTAGCTCGCGAGCTGAACAAAGGTGAGTTTGTGTTCAGCTCGTTTATTAACGAGTCGAGTTTCGAACGAGTTTTTCTCGAGTCGAACGTCGAGCCGCTCGCTAGCGGCTCGACTCATTTGCAGCCCTAGTCTAAACTAGGGATTTTTTTCTATCTCCCTTTTGATTATCGTAGCACCTAGCTTCTCTTTTATATTCCTTTGATACTTTCTTCCCTTTCCATATCTTCCCTTCCAACGATGTGGTACAAAATCCGCATCCATTCCACATGCTAAACTTATGAGACTGGCCAGCCAGGCCCATGTATTGTCGATGGCAAAGGATTAGATAGTCAATTGTCAACGGCTGCTTCTGGTAGAGATAGGAAGGAAGAGGGATTGGCTGGCCTTTCTTCAATTCAATGGTCATTTTCAGTTCTTGCTGTTATTTAAAATGGCTGACCAAATGGGACCATTTGAACATGGAATCTCGTGCGCAATGGATGAGGTCACAATCCCAGAAAGCAGCCAAAAGAAAATCTACCGCCTTGTTGATGATGATGACCTTATAATTGTATGGGTTAGTTGTTTTTGGGGCTTTTTTATAAGAGTATCCAACTGGGTTGTCAGTTATCAGTCCGAAAACTCTCCATTTTTGTCCAAGAATTTCTTCTTACTTTCCCCCTCAATCTTTCTTGTACCTGGAAACCCAGAAAAAGACTTGTCTTTTTTTACCTCTTAAGGCCAAGGAGTGCATCAGCCCTGACTGTTCCGTTTGCAGGTTACAGGTAAAGAAAAGTTTTTATCTTAATCCAATTCAGAAGGTAATGTTACAGATGAGAAGGAAGTTCAATTAGAAAAGCTGGATTTGTATCTATATGCATGTGCAAAGATTGCAGGTTTCCTTACTGTGTGTTGTTTAATGGGTTGTGCAGATTTTTGTTAGGATCGATGGGGGAGAGCTGCTGTATGATTAAGAATGATGTTACTGAAGTAAGTTCTGGGTTTTTCCTAACTTCATTACCTCAAGTGTCTATTGCTGAAATTGGCCTTAAAAAGATCATTTCAAAGTAGAATTGAGGTTCTTGTTCAATTTCTGCTACTGCAGTTAATAGGAAACACTCCGATGGTATACTTGAACAATATTGTGGATGGTTGTGGGGCACGAATTGCGGCCAAGCTTGAGAACATGGAACCTTGCTCTAGTGTTAAAGACAGGCATGCGACTATATTATACATGCTACAACTTGCTTCGTGCCGTTCACTTTTAAGTTACTTGGACGCAGAAAGATTCGTGTTCTAAAGTAAACTGTGAAGTTCGTTTTTCCATGTTTTCTAGGATTGCACATAGTATGATCAAAGATGCCGAGGATAAAGGCCTCATAACACCAGGGAAGGTTAGTTTCACCAAAAAAAGTAGAGTTGTCATGGCTAAAGGTCCATTCTTGTATTCAGTTTTAATGATCTGATAGTGAAATTTCTCTCTTTCTCGCGCTCAAGTCGGTGCTAATTGAGCCTACCAGCGGCAACACAGGCATTGGAATGGCATTCATAGCAGCAGCAAAAGGTTACAGAGTTATTCTTGTCATGCCATCTTCAATGAGCATTGAGAGAAGGATTGTCCTTTTGGCCCTTGGAGCTGAGGTTGTCCTAACAAATCCAGCCAAGGGCTTTAATGGGGTCTTGGAGAAGTCTGAAGAGATACTAAGCAAGACCCCAAATGGTTACATGCTTAGGCAATTCGAGAATCCTGCGAATCCAAAGGTAACCATTTTCAAAGTTCCCCTTTCCTTTTGATATGTCCTGCAAAAATTTCAGAATGGGATATGTTTAGTTACGATTTTGATCTCTCTCATTTCTGATGATATAGATCCATTACGAAACTACTGGACCGGAGATTTGGAGGGATTCGGCGGGCAAAGTTGATGCATTGGTTTCTGGTATAGGGACTGGAGGTACTGTGACTGGAGCTGGCCAGTTCCTCAAGGAGAAAAACCCAGATATCAAGGTAAGATTTTGGGGTTTCCTTTTGTTTCTGTCATTTGAGCAAAGAAGAGCCTGCAAAGTGCAAGTTTCCCTTTTTCTTTTTCCAATCTAGGTATATGGTATAGAGCCGGTGGAAAGTCCTGTCTTGAATGGAGGAAAGGCTGGTGAGCAATGAAACTTCTTCTCCTTTGTCATGCTCTAAAAACAAGTGCCAAAACTCTTTTAGTTTCTCAAGCTTGTATACCTGACCCTTTTTTCACTTGCCACCTTCTGCACAAATTACCAAAGCTCAACATAAGATCCAAGGAATTGGTGCTGGGATCATCCCTCCAGTATTGAATCAGGATTTGCTTGATGAAGTCGTTACGGTAAGTCACAATCCGAAACCCCCGAAAAAATGGGTTTTGAACTATTGGTTTGCTCTTTCATATATTTTGTTATGTGCTTTTCAGGTGTCAAGTGAAGAAGCCATCGAAACAGCCAAGCTGCTGGCTTTGAGAGAAGGGTTGCTGGTTGGGATATCATCAGGTGCTGCAGCTGCTGCTGCAATCAAGCTGGGGAAGAGGCCTGAAAACAGCGGCAAACTCATTGTTGTGAGTTCCTCTTCAAGGAAGCTTTTTTTTTTCTCCAGTGGCTGTCAAGATAAACCTTTCAACCTTGCAATACAGGGTTTTTTTATTTTTCTTTTCTTTTTTTGTCTTTGCTTAATTTCATGGTGCAGGCAATCTTCCCTAGTGCTGGCGAGCGGTACCTGTCTACTGCACTATTTGAATCCATTAGGAGTGAAGCAGAAAAGATGACCATACAGGACTGAAATTGGCCGCTTCAAGTTTGGAACAAGTTTCCACTCTTTCTCCTGAGCAAGGTGTGTCTTTGCTTAATACACACCTTGTGGAACTTCTGGCGCCATTGTCATTTGACCGAAAATTCTGATTTCTTCGTTGAAAGTTTCCGAGTCCAATTTGTTTGGTGTACTCTTTATAGGAGAAGTTTCCATTGTTACCTCTGGACATTGCAGTTAATAAGAGACGTTCGTTTATCATTAAAAAAAATCACTTGTTACCACATTGATTATTTTGAAGGAGTTGTAGTGGTTTGTAAGACCAACTTAACCATATTAATTAATTTTGTTTAACTTGGGCTAAGTGGTGGACTTTTGGAAAATCCCTAAGTTCATGCCAAGTACCTCAGTTAGGGTTGCAAACGAGTCGAGTCGAGTTTTTGTTTAGGCTGAGCTCGGATCATTTATAAATTTTCAGTTCGAGCTCGAAATTTGTTAATCTAGCTCGAGCTCGGCTCGATTAAAATAATCTAGCTCAAGCTCGACTCAGGATGAGCTCGATTTGAGATTATTATTGCTGAAAATTGTGTACACATAAGATCTTAAATGATAAAAGAACACAAGAAACAATAAATAACAGCTAACTTTCACACACATCGGTATTAACAAGATAATGTTCATGTTCACAAGAGTAATTAATCTTTCCACAAGCTCTAAACAAGCTAGCTCGTGAGTTTAACTCAACAAGCCACCGAGTCAAACTAGCTCACGAGCTAATCAAGCTGAGCATGGTCTAGCTCAAGCTTGGCTCGTTTACTAACGACTCGGATCGCTAGCCGGCTTATTAACTAAAGAGCCGAGTGTTGAACGAGTTTTATCCGATTCCAACGCCGAGTTGCTCGCGAGCGGTTTGACTCATTTGTAGCCCTAACCTCAGTACACGCACCTTACCCCTCGCCACCTACCTACCAAGTAGGTTACATACTCGACCCACCAAGTACCCACCTGTCAAGCATGACATCATCCAAAGGGGGTCGAGCGTCGACCACCCAAGTCGGCATGATGGAGGCGAAATTTGGCTAAGTATGGTGACTCAACTACAAGGGGGTCAAACATGACATCATCCAAGGGGGGTCATGCATGACATCGTCCAAGGGGGGTAAAGCACCAGGTACCACGCCGCCTACTTACCTTGCAATAGGCTGTCAAACATGATACCGTGCAAGGAGGGCCATCAAACATATGAAGACCCAGGAAAGTGAAAGGAAGGATAATTCAGCTAAATGTTGATACCCAACCATAAGGGGGGTTAACATGACATCATCCAAGGGTACCATGACCGTCTACCTACCTTGCACTAGGGTATCAAGCATGGTGTTGTGCAAGGGGAGCCATCGTGAGTACTAGACGTGATGGAAAAAGAAGAAAATTTTGGCTAAGTGTTGAGACCCAACCACAAGGGGGGTCAAACATGACATCATCCAAAGGGGGTCAAGTCTGATGTTATCCAAGGAGGGCCTCGTAGTCAAGCATTTAGCCACCCATGTACCAACCACCAGGAGGGTCAAGCACTAGGGTGCCAAGCATAACGTCATGTTAAGCAAGCTACATTAAGCACCAAGCATGGGAGACAAGGGTTATAAGAGGCAGTTACATGGCGGTTACAAGGAATGGCTATAAATAGGAGAAATGAAGACAAAACAAGGGTTCCACAACCAACCATTTGACACACATTGTCAAACTTTTATCTTTTCTCTACAAATTAGTCATAGCCTTTAGTTTTTAGAGCTCTCACGGAACCTCCATAAGAGTAGGTGTAGTAATTAACGTAGTTTGTTCCCAAAAAACCATCAAAACATCAAATACCCCGTGCGAACATTGTTCGGAGAGGTGTGAATCGTATTGATTTTCATTGTTCAAGAAGTCAATGGGCATTAATTGAGTTCAAACACAAGAATTTCCTCACCGGGAAACAAATTGGCACACTCGGTGAGACACTGTGTGTTTGATTTGATGGCTCCACGACTGAGAGAACAAGAAGATGATCTTTCACCTGGGTTTGTAAAAGAGCTAGTGGTCAGGTATGATCTTGGCCAATTAGCAAAAAGTGACGCCGGAAACAATGGTGGGGCAAGATGTTAGCCATCACCAGCGCCATGTTTGAGTGTAACCGCCAGTGTCAGGTAGGGATGGCAACAAAACCCAAACCCACGGGTACCCACCCGACCCAACCTGGTCAACGCGGGTAAAATTCGTGTTGACGGGTTTTGGTTTAAACCCGTTCACTATTCACCGGGTTGGGTTTGGGTTTAGCTAAACCCAACCCATGGGTACTGTCACGACCTTACTCTCGATCGTGCGGCCCTAGCTCTCAAATCCGTTAGAGCGCTAGGCAGCCTTTCTCTCAACTCGCTTGAAAGCAAAGAACAAGAACACAAGACAAAGGATTGGGAGAACTCTCTAGTGTGTATTACTCTAAAAAATGATGGAATGAGTTACAAGTGAGGGAGATGGCTCCTTATATAGGCCTCTCCTCATACAAGGCATCAATGCCCCTCATAATGTCCCTCTACTACATCAATACACCCATTAAGTCCCCCCATTATGCACTCTATAAATACTACCATAATGTAGCTAATAAGTGCACCATTAAGCTCTCTATTAAGGTGGAGAATCCTAGGAGCATCTCTATGCTACTAGTCTTCCATGCATGACACATGTGCAGCCTTGTTGTCACCTTGTTGGCGTCATGTCATCGGCCACATGTGACATCCTCCCCCACCTATGCTCGCGACGCCCTCGTCGCGTCCTCTTGATGGAATGCCTCGATCAAGTCTTTGTTCTTCCAAAGCGTGAGCTCTTTCTCCCAAGTTGCTTCACTTCCCGGAAGGTTGCGCCACTTGACCAAGTACTCCACAAAGCTTGGATGTACGCCACGACGAGGAATGACACGACGCGCCATGACTTCTTCAACTTCATGGTCGTGTGTCTTGGTGATGAGTGTTGGAGCGCGTTGCGACTCTCTTCGTTGCTCATCATCCTTGTCTTCGTGGAAAGGCTTGAGTTGGCTCACATGGAAGACCGGATGGATCTCCAAGTGCGTCGGCAACTCAATCTTGTATGCCACTGCACCAATCCTCTTCACGATGGGGAATGGCCCTTCATAGCGGCGAAGCAGTCCCTTGTGCACGTTCTTGAGATGCTTGAAGCGATGAGGGTAGAACTTGATCATCACCATGTCTCCCTCTTCGAATTCCAAGTGCCGCCTCTTCTTGTCCGCCCATTTCTTCATCTTCTTACTAGCGCGGGCTAAGTAAGACTTGGCCATCTCCATCTTCTCGTGCCAGCCTTTAGCGAACTTGTAGGCTGCCGGACTGTTGCCTCTATACCCCGTTGCCACCGTCGTAGGTGTCAAAGGTTGCTGCCCCATCGCCAACTCAAATGGACTCGTGTTGGTCGACTCACTGCGGTGCAAGTTGTAGGAGAATTGTGCCGTATCCATCAACTTCACCCAATCTCGTTGGTTTGCACTCACGTAGTGCCGCAAGTACACTTCCAACAAGGCATTCACCCGCTCCGTCTGTCCGTCGCTTTGAGGATGAAATGCCGTCGAGAAGTTCAAGTCTGAGCCCATGATCTTGAACAAATCTCGCCAAAATCTGCCCGTGAAGCGCCCATCTCTGTCGCTCACGATGTTGCTAGGAACGCCCCAATACTTGACCACGTTCTTGAAGAAAAGACGTGCCGCATCCTCTGCCGTCATGTCTTTTGGGCCGGGGATGAACACTCCATACTTCGAGAATCTGTCCACCACAACCATGATGCAACCGCATCCATCGACTTTGGGAAGTCCGATGATGAAGTCCATGCTTACACTCTCCCATGGTCGTTGAGGTGTGGGCAAGGGCTCTAGCAAGCCTGCCGGGCTTCTCTGCTCCATCTTGTCTTGTTGGCACACAAGACAAGTCTTCACATACATCTCCACGTCGTCTCTCATACGCGGCCAGAAGTATGCTTCTTCGATGAGCGCTTGTGTTCTCTCGATGCCGGGATGGCCCGCCCACTTGGAATCATGACACTCCTTCATGATCTCCTTCCTCAAGTTGGCCCACCTTGGCACGAACACACGCTCTCCCTTGGTCATGATGAGCCCATCCTTCATCCAAAACCGTCGAGTCTTGCCTTGCTCGATGTACTCCGCTACGGTTTTGGCGAAGGGGTCATGGCCAAGGCCTTCAACGATCCGCTCCTTCAAAGGAAACATAGGCTGGCTGATGCTTGCGGCTGCACTCTTGCGGCTAAGAGCATCGGCAACGGAATTCGCCTTGCCTGGGTTGTATCCCATGACGAAGCCGAACTCGGCCAAAAAGTCTTGCCACCTCGCTTGCTTGGGGGTGAGCTTCTTCTGCGTAAGAAAGTAGCTCGTTGCCACATTGTCCGTCTTCACTACGAACTTTGACCCCAACAAGTAGTGCCTCCATGTGCGCAAGCAATGCACCACGGCCGTCATCTCCTTCTCTTGAACGGTGTATCGCCTCTCCGTCTCGCTAAGCTTCCGACTCTCGAAGGCAATGGGATGCCCATCTTGCATCAACACGCCCCCAATCGCGAAGTCGGACGCATCGGTCTGCACTTCGTAGGCCAACGTTGGGTTGGGGAGCACGAGCACGGGCTCCTTTACCACCGCTTGCTTCAAGGCCTCGAATGCTTCTTGGCACCTTTCCGACCAATCCCACGCCTTGTTCTTCTTCAAGAGATCCGTCAAGGGTGCTGCAATGTTGGAGTAGCCCTTGATAAACCTCCGATAGTAGTTGGCAAGGCCGAGGAATGACCGCAACTCTGACACCTTCGTCGGCGGCTCCCATTCTTGGATTGCCTGCACCTTCGCTCCATCCATCTTCAACTTGCCTCCACCAATGATGTGCCCCAAGAATGGAACCTCCGTGGCGGCAAATGTGCACTTCTCCCTCTTGACATACAACTCGTTGTTGCGAAGGACTTGGAAGACTTGGCGTAGATGCTCGGCATGCTCATCGAGTGTTTTGCTATACACGACGATGTCATCCAAGTAGACCACGACAAACCGGTCCAAGAATGGCTCGAACACTTGATTCATCAAAGTGCAAAACGTGGCTGGTGCGTTGGTGAGACCGAATGGCATCACAAGAAACTCGTAAGAGCCATACCTCGTCACACAAGCCGTCTTTGGCTCGTCGCCCTCTGCTATCCGCACTTGATAGTAGCCCGAGCGAAGATCAAGCTTGGTGAACCACATCGCATCTCCA